TTGTCCTAAAGCCCGTGATGTACGCAGATCCATAGACCATACTAGGAATATGCAAATTAGAAATACAAATTAGAATCGTGCTTATAAGATGAAATCACCATTCCTTTTAAAAATGAATTCATAGAATTGAAAAAATTTACGATCAGGGAGCGCCATCTCTACGGTGGAGCGGCGATAAATAGTGTCAAAAATTTCTTTCATCGATAGTGTTGGATGAAACGTTGATGAAAATGTGCTAATATTCTAATATTATTACTAATATTATTAGTCTTTGACAGCTAGTTGTCCAGCCATGTTTTGGACGGCCTAAATTGGACACTTGAAATGACGGGTTTTTGAATAAAGATGTATATGTTAATTTTACATAATAGTCCAATTTGTAAGGCGTGGGTCTTTGGCTTCGTATTCAGGGTAGACGTCGGCCCTAGATATCGGCACTTCTTAGGTATATATAGGTAAATACTTAGTGTAAACGCATGGCTGTATACAGTCAAAATTTTCCCCCGTGCACTCTAGCTGGCCTTACCTGTTAATCAGAGGCGTGTCATATCCTTGTTTCACCTGTTCCACTTTGTAGTTATAACAGAACTTGAATAGCAGCCTTTTAAACCACGATCCTTCTTTTACTTTATCCAGAACATTATGACGAATGCGATCCATGATCGCCTAAAAATTAGGAATATAATTATTGGGAAATCCCTAGACTAATTGCTACAAGTCGACTCGCATAGTACTCGCATTGTAACGAGTAAAACGAGTGAGCGAATAAAACGAATGGGTAAGCTAAATATTACGAGACTAACGAGTTGACTTGTTGCAAGTCTAGTAAATCCCATGCAATATTAATTCATGCAAAGTTAACTAATCAAGCAAATAGTAAGTACAGACCGAAACAAAAAGAAATAAAAGTAACTAAAGTTTTTATTTCCTTACCGGAACCGCGGCCATGAGAGTTGGTTTGAGGACGCCCACGTCTCCTTTCGAACCTTTCTTGATCTTAGAGGACTACGTAAATAATAACAAATATTATAATACTAAGTGTTTAATCAATGAATGTAAATCTTATATAGATTTCGTCTTGACTAACATAACCTGTTCGTTTGATATTTTCAGAACTAACACAATTTATATTTTACATCGATAAACATGAATGAGTTTTCGGCTCGTATGTCCAATTAATCGCACACAGGTAGACCGCTCACGCTTTATCTATTATACTTAAACTCTCAATTTTCCCATTCACTTCTTTGTTGTTTCAGAGGTATGTTAAGTAAGAAATACATTCACTCTAGAGTTTGCCCATATCCTGGTTGTTTGATAGGGCGTTTATTTGGACATTATATAGAATAATAAAAAGACGTCCATAACTGACCTGGTCTGCCAAAGTTAAAGGTGATGAGTAACCAATAGAACTTCCTTGTGACAACATGACCAGTTCTGCGTTAAATGAAAGACAGAAATGTAATGTAAAAGGGTATTGTATGGTATGTCAAACTTAAAGGCACAGTTCAGCCTTTTGAATGATGGTTTTTAAGAAAAGGAAAATAGAAAAATCAATTAGGCATAATTTAAGATCAGCAAACTTAATGTTTTTAACATTTTAAAACATTTTTATTGTTCTTATTGAGTCCTAGTTAGTTTTTCAATTAAAGGGCTGAAATGCGCCTTAAAAAAACCATTATTCAAAAGGCTGAACTGTGCCTTTAACAATTGACAGTCTATTTAATTTAATTTTGTTCCAGACTCCTCTCTTCAGATTGCTTTGACGTAGATAGGTTTTTAGCATATAAAATAAGCGATGACGCCACACATTTAGTTTCCAGTTTAATCCCAATTATAAAGCAACATGTATATATAAGCTCTGGAGACAACATATGTCATGGGTGGAGTTTATAAATTTGACCATAGTCTCACTTATGTTACCTGCTGAAAGCTCCAGGACATGGGCAAGTGGTAAATAACCAATGTAAACATCATTGCTAAACATAAAAACATAATTCCTATATTGTTATACAGCTAGGGTGAGCACCAAACGTGATTGGCTTATTTGTAATCACATGCCTTTAGATAAATGTAATGTATCCCGCCGGGCAACAGGTGATAAATTATTGCCCGCCCCGACCGACTATACACGTATACATAAATACACAAAATGGTGCCACAACTCGCAAGTTTATAAACTACGATTTTCCAAATTTGTGTTAAAAAAACGAATGTAAAAGAGAAGAAAAATACACAACAGGCAACAGGATATGCTGCTGAAACCTTTTTTATTTTACTTTTTGGTTCTTTTAATTTTAAACTCGTTTACACTATAGAGTTTTTGTCATTAAATACAATTGTTGTATGAATGTTGTTGATTTTTCTTTCGTCGCTATATATAACAAAACACTTAATGTCGTTTCCCCTCGAATCTCAATGTTTTCCTGGACTTCGTCTCGGGGAACATTGAGACTCTCGGGAAAACAAAACTATTTCCTTGGGAGCAGACATTATATTATCACACGATGGCATGGTAGTCGGTTGAATCATAACATATCCTCACAGTCTTCATATCATAAATAGAGAGGTTCAGATTTGACTAACCAATCAGATTATTATTATTTATTATTATTATTATTATTATTATTATTATTATTATTATTAAAACCTTATTTATACACGGAGTCCAGTTCACATATCGTGTTCTTCTCTGGAGCCGTGAAGAATTAACATTAAATATATAAATACAGACAGACACGCGACTATTTCTGGATTACAAATACATATGATTATATGATAAAAACCTTTAGACTAATCTATAAAAGTGCTTTAAATTGATCAACTGATTTAGCATTAGTTGCATCACAGGTAAGCTATTCCACAGGACAGCACGTCGGTATGAAAAACATTCTTTAATAAGGCCTCAGTCACAGGTCTCGCGGAACAAACAATTTAGAGTCTGAACCACGTATAGACCGTAACTATGGATTGATGAAACACTCGTGAATTTATTAGAAATATATTCCGGTACCATTTTGTGTACCGTTTTAAATATAAGTGTTTTAAAATGCTGCTCTCTTCTTTCTTTTAAATTCAACCAGTTTAGGTCAGACAGTATACTTCATGTGATCGAGTGTTATAATCTGACCCCTCAGGGACCCATTTATTATACGTGCGGGCTCTATTTTGTAATTGTTGTAGTTTTTGTGCAAGACCAAGATGCGTTTGATACATGCGATTAACCAATCAGATGCGTGTACTAAGCCAATGAGAGGTAGTGGAAGTCAAATCTGAACTCTCTATTGTCCAGGTATTTCATTACTTTCAAAGCGGAATAATCAGCAGAAGAATTTAATACCTTTTATTCCTAACTCTATCAGTCATCCCAGCTATGGTAGCCATAAGGTTTGCATGAGATATTATAACTCCTGTTAATAAACGAAAATAAGCTCAATTACTAATAACAGCAAGACAGAAGCCAACGGAAATCAGACTATGTTATTACGGTACACAGCGATTCTAAGTCGCAAGAATCGTAATATGTAAGTTTGAGTTACAGTTCGTTACCTTTTGGTAAACCTGTAGAACCACTTGTATACATTATTACTGCTGTATCTTCAGGGCAAGGTGGAATGCGAGACTGCGAAACTAAGGTAAGACGATAGTAAATTAGATCAAATTCCTTTATAAGCATGACGCCCATTCAAGTAAATTAATATTCAAGTAAATTAATATTCAAGTATTTCAAATATAAATTTCCACGAGGCAGCAAAAACATGGAAGTCTCTGACATCACGTGCGATCCGAGGCCATTTGTTCAAAGCACGATTAGCGTTACCCCTGGTTTAAAATCTAGCTTGCTGTTTGAGTTTGTCTTTCTGCAGGTCATTTCAAAACTTCATTAAATTGAATATTTCTGGAAATTCGTATTTCTTCCAAGATTTAATAAACAAGTTTGCCTTGAAGGTTTTCTTTTTTTTTTTATTTATTTATTTAGCTTTGCCAACTAGGGCAGGGTCACCACAACAGCATATGCCAATTACTGTGGTCCCTTTTTACCTAACCCACCCTGTCAACTTTCCCTGTGGGAGGAAACCGGAGTACCCGGGGAAACCCACGGCTTTCGGCAGAGCGTCGACTTCTACTCTTTTCACATGGGGACTGGGTTCGAGTCGCACTGAGAAGGTACTTAGTGAGATTCGACCCTGCGGCCTCAGAGGTGAAAGGCAAGTGCGCTAACCACTTGGCCACCGAAGCCCCTGAGCTAACAGGCTTTGAGGCTTTCAAACAACTGGCCCCTGGCGCATGGCTTCATTAGCCTACTCATGCACTTCCCCTTTTTAGCTCCGTAAGCAGAGCTAAAAAAGGCAAGTTGCTATTTCGTAGCACTATCGTACCTATACCTGTCACGTTTTCAGGGGAGTTACTATTTTTAGACTTTTGTAATTTTGTATTCCTTTGTATTTTAAACTTAACCCAAATCCTAACCCTAAACCAACTCTTACTCTAATCCGAACCCTAATCTCAATCCTAACCCTAGCCCTTTCCCTAATCCAAACCCTGATCCTAAAAGTCTAAAAATAGTAACTCCCTCAAAAACGTGACTCATATGGACTCGAGTACAACGCCAGGGCACCTACCTTTCTCCAAACTCAGATACTATGCCCAATCACAGCGTAATTAAATTTTCATACTTACTATTCTGAGACCTAGATCCAATTCTTTCAACTTCGGCAATAGATAAAACTTTGACGTGACTTGGAAACACAGACAGACCACTAAGGTTAACATCACCAATATAAATAATTGTTTTGATATTTGTCAACTGTCCTGCAACTGTCTGCAGTTTGGGCAATAAATGTCCATCAGTTATAACAACTTCCACTTCAGCTTGGTTAATACCATACACAATAGCTTCCTCTCCAAGTGTAGCGTAGAGGGTCACAACTACAAAAAAAGCCAAAAGGGGTGTCCAAATTCAAAACATTGAGCACACAAGAAGCAATGCAAGGTGAATGTCCAAACATCGGTACAGACTAATTTGATCATGAAGAAGGTATTAATTCTGTCACTTTTATTTAGTTTTGTTTACTTTTATTCCGTACAGAAGTAAATTATATTCATTAAATTCTATAATCTATATTCTGTCCAGAATATCTATGTTCAATTTTCCACGAACAGAATTTTTACTAGGCATTGTATTGTGATGGCTTAACCTGAAATATTTCTGTTCTGGCCATATTCTTTTTCCAGTTTTGGCCAGAACTAGAACTCTGCAAACCAGGGTTCTTGAACCTGAACTAACTGGGTGAAACCTGATTCTGGTGGATCCCCAGTTATACCAGGGCTCGAAATATAGGTTGCTTTTATGCTATCGAAAGAATGCGCGGAATGCGTGTAGGCGAAATGCTTAGGCGAAACAATTAATTAATGCTTAAGCGAAACAGTGCTTAGGCGAAACAATGCTTGGGTCATTAAATTTTGTTAACGATCTTGTTTACTCGAAACCGGTTTTTGTGACGACACTTGCCGAAAATTTCGCTTCTTTTATTGAGTAAATTGTCTTTGTTCATGTCTTTCAAAATGCAAATTTTTTCTTCCAAACATAAATTGCAGCGTTTTGACCGCCCTGCATGTGTACGAAATAGCGTGTTTTAAAATTGACCATTTGGTATCATCCTGATTGTTTTCTTTTAATTTCCAAATATGTTTCGAAAGTTCCGTTTTGTTTGAGTCTTTTTCATGACAAAAAGATGAAGTGTGGTTAGCGTAACGTTCCTTAAATGTAGTCGCTGTCATACCAATGTAGTGTTTAGTGTCGTTCGTGTTGTTCGTTGTGACTGTGGATTTGTAAATAATGTTGTTGGTCATACATTGTTTCGGTAGTGGGCAAGTGTTTTTGTTGTCGCAGTTACAGTTGTCAGTTTCCGTATTTTGTGATTGGCTGTTCCTGCTCTTTTATGTTCTTTTATTCTTGTTTTCAATACTCGGTTAGTTTGGCCATAATAAGTAAAATCACAAGCGGAACATTCAATTTTATAAACGATGTACCTTGTACGGTTAGTGTCTAGCTTATCTTTTGGCTTTGGAAATACTTGCTGTAATGTACGAGTTGGTTGGAATGAAACACGAATTTTCTCACGTTGTAATGTTCTTGTAATTCTTTCTGACTAGGTGAAACTGTTGATTTTTGCGTTGCATTTACATTTTCATGCGAACTACTTAATTCCTTGTTTTTGTACCGGTTGGTTGAGGGTATTTTCTCTGCCCTATCGAGTATAAAAGTATTAACTACGTACAGATCGCTTGTGTTGTGGAGGGTGATTTGACGTGTATAAATCCAGGTATTTGTCCGTATGCGTCTTTTTACGGTAAACATCAACCCTAATTTGACCATTTTGCCTAATTGTTACAGTATCAAAGAATGGTAATCTATTATTTTCTTCCGCTTCAATGGTGAATTGGATTTGCTTGCAGGGGCGTAGGAAGCTTCTAAAAGTTGGGGGGGCAGGCTTTGAGGGGCACTTTCCGAATAAAAAAGGGCATCTAAAAATATATATATATATATATATATATATATATATATATATATATATATATATATATATATATATATATATATATATATATATATATATATATAAAGGCAATCCTTAAGACATTTTTACGCAAGAAAAAGGGCACTTTGCTGCAGGAAAAAGGGCACTTGGCAAAACTTGGGGGGCCTGGCCCCCCTGTTCCTACGCCCCTGTTTGCTTGTCTATTGAATTTAAATGCTTATGAAACTCCTCTACATATTTACGTTTTAGGCAAGTATGGCTATCATCAACAAACCTGAACCACCAACGGGGTGGGTTGAGAGCAGTTGTTAAAGTAATTTCTTCTATGTGTTCCATAACAAGATTGGCTATAGTATTGTGGCACTAATCGGAGATCCCATTAAATATGAGACATTGCCATTTTGGCAGTTCAATGAATAAAAATGGAAGGCTAAAATTTATTTCACCTGCCAAAAAATTTTAGACTGGCAGGCCATATCATTTTTCTACTTCGATGATCGAGCCCTGCCTGTCCCTTCAAGTATCATATGTACCTAGATTTTTAGTGAGAGGTATTTAATATTAATTGATATTGCCAATTGATGTCAAATATTAATTGAGAATGCCAATAAATTGATGTCATTTCTGGGAATTTGTATAATTAGGTAAATATAGTATGGTTTCGAGTGCAATTTCGGAAAAACAAGCACATTGTCAAGTGATGTTGTCAAAGATGGTCAACCGTATTACTCATTAATCTTATAGTAAAAATTATACAGAAGTAACTGATTCATTGTCACTTGCATGCATGAAACACATGTAAAATATATAATTTACTCACTCATTTGAATGACACAACAACTTAATACAAATTTTCAACGGTCAGAAGTCAAAACTAAAAAAAAGTGTCTTTTGTTTCGGTGCTTGGCACATTGTATTTTCTTTGTTTGGCACTACATTGGGTCATTCCAGAAAAGATCCACACTCCCCCCATGGAGGAAATTTCTGCCGTCCGGAGAGGGAGGGGAGAAAAAATTGTTTGTGATAATAGTAAATGTATTAGGACATCCGAAGGGGGTAAGGAGGTTAACTTCCAATTTCCTCCATGGGGGTGGTATGGATGTTTTCTGGAATGATCCATTTCGATAAATTGTACTCCTTTCAGTCAATCAGAATCGAGAAATTTTTACAGTCATTGAAGATGATAATTCAGAGATACAGTAAATAAAGATTTGATTCAGATGGTATAGAATGCTCCACCTAACTTTTAAAACTGTCTGGCTTGGTTACTACTAAATACTTGATAGGTTTCCTTTACACAGGCTGGGCCGGTGAAATAGCCAGAGGGACTAGCTAGTAGAGATTTTGTATATAGGTGTCATTAAAGATCACCAAAACGCATTCAGATAGCCCCCAAAATGCTGAAAATGGCACTTTTCGCAGGGGAGCATACCACTGGAACATACCCCCATATTTCTTAAACCCCCCTCTCCCAACTAGAAATCCTGGCTACACAATGGTGTCAAGTAACAAAGTAAATGTACTTCGTTACTGTACTTGAGTAATATTTTTGAGAAGTGAGCATGTAACAAAGTAAACTTTTTCTGGAATACTTTTACTTGGAACGAAGTCATTTTAAGAAGTAACGTTTTACTTTAGAAGTTACGTTCATTTTGTGGCGAAGTATTACGTTACTTTCTAACTTCTGTTTAATTTTACGTGATTTATTTCTGGTTTATTTTAATTTCGGGAAAGGTAATACGACTTCTACATACGTTAGGGATTTCTCGTTTATGACTATAATTATTTATTTAATGGATTTCTTATATCTTCAACAGAGTCTGGAAAGCAGACCATGCCGTGAAATATTGTATAGTCGGTGCACACCAGCACACATGCATATATAATGCGTGTGTTGTTTTGTGTCTTTTGTATGTTAATCCATTGGAGAAGTCCCCCCCCCCCCTCCTCTACAGGCTGCAGACAATAGTACTTTTACTTTGTACTTCAAGTATTTTTTAAGGATACTTTGTACTTTTTACTTAAGTACGTTTTCCTTCCAGTACTTTTTAATTTATTCTTACTCAAGTCGTTTTATTGTTAATTACTTCTACTTTTACTCGAGTACAAATTCAAAGTAATTTAGGCACCACTGTGGCTACATCACTGGGCTGAGAAAAACACTGAAATTTGATGAAAAAGAGAAAAACACACCTGTTTACACTATCCTTTGTTCATTTCATCTACATTTCTATACTGTCGCTCATTCATTTTTGTGACATATACAATACACACTTTAAAAATGACTACATATTTACCTGGAAAATTATACGAAAAGCAACTTTGAGCTGCAATCATCCATTCTGCCCTTGTATCAGCAAATATGACTACATTTTGTTTAGTTCTTTGACCAAGTGCCAATAATCCACAACCGAATGATTCAACCTTAGTAAGTACTTCGTTATAACTCAACCAATTATAATTTCCAAGCACAACTTTATTAAATACTCTTCCATTTGCCTGCATTTCATTTTCAGAGCTGAAAAGTTCTCTGGTGCCAAGACATTTCTTCGAGCCATGACTTGAAACTGTATTTCTACAAAACAAAATTCATGTAAAACATGCATTATGCCACTAATCAACTAGTATATGTAGAAATGGGCTGACGAGCTGTTCACTACTTTCCCATTTGGGAACTGTCTGTTGTTATTTGTGTGTGTATTGTAAAGTAATCAGTTCCTAATAAGTTGTTAAATCGAAATCATGAAGACTCATTGAGGATTAACTGCAAGGAAAAAAAAGGCAAAACATAAAAAGAACTTTAATTGCTGACAGTGCTGTAAGTAACTTCGTTACAAGTAACAAAATTACAAGTAATCATTACTTTTTAGTAACTAACGGTAACTATAGTTAGCCGTAAAAAAAATACCTGTGGTTCCGGTTTCATATGAAAAAATGAGGATCGGTAGGTCGGAAATACATTTTTTTTTAAATATTTTTTCATAGTTTTGGCGGTTTTTTGCTGGGCGATTTGCAGTAGAGTCCTGACATCAGTATTAACTAGAGATGTGTATTTCCTATGGACGAATTTAGGCAATTTGGTTCAATAATTAGTGTGACAACAGACGCCATTTTGGCAGGATGTATGAGCAGCCCGCAACCACCTGGAGAAAATAGGGTTGCACAGTCAATCGCGTTGAAAAAATAATAGGGTCGGCAGAAAAAAATAGGGTCGGTCGGGAACCGGAACCACAGGTATTTTTTTACACCATATGTTTTGAAAAGAGGTAACTGCAACTAGTTACATTTTGGCTTAAAATGGAATGATAACATGTTACTTCTCTGACCATATGCAACATAATTAATTTACGTTACTTTTTTCGTTACAATTTACATTTTGAACTCAGTGCTATAGTTGTAAAATATGATTACATATATATTATACTGAATTTTTAACACTTTTCTGGTTCGTTATGCTTGTAAATGAATACAGACTAGAGATTCAATTCAAGAAAGTTCGGAAAAAGCGAAATATTAACAACATTCCAAAGGTTGCCTCCCCACTGATGGAATGTTTTGATGCGCAGAATATATGCGCAGAACGGACTTTACCGCATCTTTAACACAATACAGTGCTTGTTATTAAAGTTATTTTCTTTATTCTATCAACTTTTATTATTATGTTTATTGTGGTTGATAAACTGATTCACTCTGCAATAACTCCTATCAAACGCCTATATACCGGCTTGCAGTTGGATTATCTTAATTATTCTTTACAGTAATTTAACTGAACTCGCTGTCAATGTAATAGTTACATAATACATTTTTTATCCGTAACTTTTACTGGCAACTAGTTCTTTTTTGATCATTTAACTTGACTGTAATTAGTTCAAAAAAAATAAATAACTTTTATAGCACTGCATAATGATAAGCAACTAAGCTTTCATAATGTTTCATAAATCAAATTTAGTAAATTTGGAATGTTAACCTTTTTAATAAGTGGCAATGCACCCTGATGCACCTAGCTACTTTATCATTTTCCTCTGTCTAAATGCCAGACAATGTTACTAATTATCAAAGGGAGAGTGCTAGCTGCCACTCAATGGGTCAATTTAATATCAGAATCATGATAAATTTAATGTCTAAATGATACAATTAATGTAGGAATGTGAAATTTAAAATTGCCATTCTTATATAAAATTGTTTTAGCAATCTTTCATCACAGAGCAGGCGATGAATCCCCCTTTTCTTCTTCGATATTGAATGGTTTTAGTTAATTACCCAATCAGAGAATTGGAACAGTAAAATAAAAGTTACATACTACAAGCATGTTTACGATAAATACTATGTGCTGTTCAGTGTTCATGAGAACACAGTGGCAATTCAGATGTAAAGTGTAATAGCCAGTGGTTGCCAATTCAGATGTAAAGTGTAATAGCTAGGTGTGCATGCATGATTTGAACATTTTTAAAAAATCTGCCTGCATGCACAGAATTTTTTCACATGGCCAAAGGTAATATAAAAACTCAGAGTGTCAATTAGTTTGCAGGCTGTAATGGACCTTGTACCCTCACCCCACCTACATTGTACTTTGGAACATTAATAAACATCATATTTTGAAATATTTATAAGTTAGAGTTAGAGTTATGTCTCAACCTTGCAAATTTATCAGATTGAAAAAAGCCATGATTGTGTTATCAGATGTTCCCCCAAGAGGTTTGCCCTTGGCCTTTCATTATTATTAGGTGATATGATTGAATGAATTTGGCATACTATACAGGAAACTCGTGACATCAAAAGAAAACTGTCGTATAGATTAACTACAAATACAAAGTGTACTTTTCAACAAATATTTCATAACAAACTGATAAGGTTTTGAAGTGTTTGACTGTATTAAAAATCGTTATTGGCTGAACACTTTGATGATATTTTACATTGATATATGAAATTACAACATCACCTGTATTGTACAATTTTATAATTTACACGTTGAAGAACAGGCAAGAGAGCCTGCAGTCCATAAATATAAAGCCGAGAATCCAAAAATAAACTAATGCTATGGCTTACAAACAGATTATATTTTGAGAGCCCATGACACAAAAATCTAGCACAGGTGGTTTATAAACGGAAAACGGAAACATCTGCACATGTATGATGTGGAAATTTTATATTTATACTACATTTTTTGGACGAAAGAAGTCTGAAATTAAATTTTACCGTTTGTGTCAGAGTGTAAAATTCAGTATAATCTACATACGATTTAAAGATATAAACAATGTTCAATATAAATTCTATATAAAAGACGCAACTTTTTTAAATAGTATTCTGACATCAATTTTAATTCTTGATAGTTTGTTTGACGAAATAAAGTTCACTTGCTAGCGTTAAAAATAAATCAACATTATCAACTCACCTGAATAATTTGTCCAAAGTATATACCGCATTAACTGGAGTCCTTAAAATGTTCTGATAATGTTCGACGCATCTGTAGGATGAGCTAGGATCTCTTGAAACAGTAGCTCTTGCCTGTACTTCATCATGTCGCTGCTTCGCGCCATACAATAAATACCACGGGTAAAACGAAACGAAACCCCAAAAGGAAGCCACTAAGTTTAGAACATAAACGATCGGCCTTTCGACCAAATTGAGAATCATGTTAAATCCTTATAGCAGAACCGATTCAGAAACACGTTCTGGCAGTACAAATCATGTCAAACTCTCACTATGAAAGGTGGCATTCTTGGCAGCCGGAACGTTTGTCTACGAAGGGAGACTTTCCCCATAGAACAAAGTCCAGTCCAGAGTCCATTGTGTACGTCAGATATTAGGCTCTTGCGCATGCGCGGATCTGGCTTGTAAAGCTGGGAGCCAAACACCGTTTAAAAGTAGTCAAAATCTACCAAAAGAGGCCAAAGACCGCCAAACAACTTTTCGTTGAAAAGAACCTTCCCTAATAATTTACATGAACTGAACTCACATTCTCTTCGTGCTTGGTTTGGAATATCGGTACACTATAATAAATACTCAGAAATATAGTAATTGCTCAGAAATATATTTGCCTATTATAAATATTAGGCAATATATATATATATATATATATATATATATATATATATATATATATATATATATATATATATATATATATATATATATATATATATATATATATATATATATATATATATATATATATATATATATATAGTAGGGCATTTTTTAAGAATTCGTGTGGTATGGTATGTAATAGTAGGGGGTCCAGAAGTATGGCAAAGGTTCCAACCCTCCCGATTTGATCGGGAGGCTCCCGATTTCTTGGCAAATCTCCCGATCTCCCGATTTATATTTAAACCTCCCGATTTTACGAATGAAAAGAAAAAATGTTACTTTTTCTAAAAGAATCCTTGTAAAAGCCGTTCGCGTACGGTAAAAACGGTTGTCGGATCGACAAAAAAGCGGTATTTCGCCAAGAGGGATGTTTTGTACGACAAAGTTTCGTAATATTTCGCATGAAAGGCGGAAATTTACAGTTGTTGTATTCACGAGTCTCGGAATCAAGAAATGGCGCTTCTGAAAGAAAGTTTAAATTTTCTAAATTTTCTACCCAGTCACACTAGAGGTCAACGTTTTCTTGCCTTTACCAGACCTCCCGATTTTTGGAGATGTCAAGTTGGAACGTCTGGTATGGTATGGTATGTAATAGTAGGGGGTCTACCCCTAGGACTGCAATTCGTGCATTGGCTGAAACGGTTTTTTGAATATACAGCATTACATTATGCAGAGGCCACGGAAATATGACCAAAATCAAACGATTTTATGTCGTCCACGAGCCGAACCGAAAATTTTTGAAAATATGGAGTCTCTATAACGAATGCTATAACGTCGGAAAGCCACTGACATAACCCGCGAACAGGCATACTCTGGGAATGAGATTGCGTCGGAAATGGCTTTACAGAGTCTTTAATTACTACTGCAAAAAAGGCACTTTCTTTCCAGGAATTCCAGCAAGAGGGCGTTCATTCAAGAAATACTTTTTCGTTCTTTAAATGGGGCACTTCAGCCCAGAAAAAGGGCACTTTTTTCACTTTTAAAAAAAGTGGGAGGGTACATGCCCCGGCCCCTGACATTATGCTGTAGATAGATTAAGTACTTGCATGATATGCGCATGTTTATGTACATACCACAACTAGGTCACTCAGGGGGTAGGAAGCTTGATAAACTTAGGGGGCCCGACTCCCACGAAGCGCCACCCAGGCTATTCTCTCTCATACTCTGGTCCCCGGTAACCAGTATATTAGTATTACAGTGTTCACAAATTACGATTATGGGGAGGAGGCGCCGTGTCGAGATGTTGATGCGTCCCAGAAAATTTTGAAAATTACAAGCCCGGAAAGTCATTTTCAGCTACTTCTCACAATAGTTTTGTTTAAAGTAACAATGTATACAAGGCATGCATTTTTTAACTATATAATTGCAAAGCCCCCATGGTGCCCCCCCCCCCTTTTTCTCTAAAATATAAGCAAAACATGCAATTTAGAAGGGAGGTTTGATACTCTAGTAACTAAAATTTGCTTTGTGAATCTTATGTCCTTGAAAGGGCCTAACGAAAGAGGTGGAGAAGACTCTGAAAATGCCATTTCCGATGATCTAGAGACTCAAAATTTTCAAAAATGAATGTTCCCGCTCGATGCCAGCTATGGTACGAGGTTGCAACTGTAATTGCCTGGATCTCATGACAGCTGATTGGGGAGAGGGCTAATTTTCTATTTATTTTCGGCTAAGTTGAGTGCCGTAGTTTTCAGCTACGATGGCCGCAAAACATGACCGAAGTGTCACAGCAAGTAGCGAAATTTAAAATTAGAACTGAAAAGTAGGGGGGGGGGGGGGGGGGGTCAGCATGCTTTCTGGGGAAAAAATTAATTGAATTAGTTGGACACCAAAAATGGTGGCAGCGATCAGGAAACTTCATATTACTGTCTTACGCTGTCTCTGATCGTTTTTTTTTAGAATTAAGGCCGGGACACACCGGACGCGATTCGACAACGCGGCACGATTTTTCGATTTTCACTCCGATAGCTTGGTCTACACATTTTTATAAATTTCCTTTCATTGGCTGTTTTATTAACTTGTGTCTCGGCCTCTGCACCTACAAGTCCTACAATCAGGTCAATTCATAGATATCTATGGGTCAATTTTCAAGTCATTTCTGAGAATTGTTATCCTGGATCAAGGGGTTTCCTGTTTTGCTGAACCTGTAGCCTGTACTCAGGCGCTGAGTTTTTTCCAAAAAGAAGCCAAAACGTCAAACTTTTTAAAGTTTGTTGTTTCAAGTACAAGTTGGCCAAATTCGACACACCAACTTACTTGTTTCTGTTATCGGAAGCTGCGAAAATGCAACTTTAGGCCGTCCGACACTCCGCAGGAATGAAACTAGCCTGAGTATCAAGACCATATTTCCCTTCCCTAAATGTGGTTGAATCAAACCTGCGACCCAGAGATTCATCAGACCAGTTGCCGAGCATTAACGACCATCCTCCTCTCGCAACAAAGATCTATAAATTGGTCTGCATGGCATCCCTCCCCGTTCTCTATTAATAAGTCCCCTTTCCAAGAATTACCCCCCCCCCCAAAAAAAAGTACTTGAAATAAATAGAGGATTTGTGATTATCATATTTATGTTGAGGAGAACCTATGGGAAAACATTTAAAAAACCCTTACATGTAAAGTAATGTATCAAACTGGGTACCTTGCAACACCGTTAGGGGGTGTTTAAATGAGCCCGAGGGGCTGGCCCTGGATCCCGGGAGTAATCCCTATTAGAATTGTTCTCGGTGGCATGAGAGCTGGCCTTCATACGCAATATTAATTTTGATACTATGGTTTTAAATTTCGCATATATATAAATGCAACAGGTGGGTATGAGCAAAAACACGCGCTATTCGTCAAAAACATGGCTTTCGAAATCTTTTTTATTCAAATATTTAGCAGGAATCATCCTGAGACAAAAATCAGAATTGTTCATTTCATCAAGGAAAATACACCACGAAGTTGTGAAGCCCGCGAAGGATACGATCATAAACTTAGGATAAGATACAGTAAGGCCGCAATGGCGCGGAATATAACGCTATGTCACATAGCCCCTTTCCTCACTCTTTTTTTAAGAAATTTGAAGGAACCAAGAAAGTCAACTGTGGTGGAAATATCGAAACCACCTGTTGTAAACGATAATTTAACTCTCTGAGACATACATATAATATAATATCTTATTATTAATATTGTTGTTGTTGTAAGTTATGGCATTTAGAAAACCACGCACATGGGAATAGCAGCTTTGGAAGATTTCCAGATATTTGTGAAACTGGTGCCGGTTGTTCAAAACTCGATTAGACCTAACCCTTCGGTTAAATTTAACCCGCGCTCTTTTGATTTGTGTAATTCTGAGCGCCTACTGATTTAAAACCTTCAGAAAATAAAAATTCTATTGATCCAGACTAGATTTATGGAAAAAGATTTCTAGATTTATAAACAAGGTGCTGGTAGGTTAGTTCTAGAGTTAGTTTAGGATTAAACAAAACCTAACGTGCATGGTAAGCTAAACGGCTTTCAAACAACTGGCTCCAGTTTTCTTTATATAATACTGTTATTAATATTCGTCTTTATGAACATGTGATTGTCCGATATTCCAGATTTCCAGAATCAAGATTAAAACACACAACACACGCAGCTAGCACCAACAACCTCCCTCTTGTTGCGCGTTCTCTTGTGGTGTGTCTTTTAGTTTCACTTCGACCATATCTTTGTTAGGTTTCTCTGCTGTATTTTCCATTCCTGGTAATGCCGCGGCAACTCTTCGGAAAAGCTGCAATTTTGTACAAAACGGATTAACGTATTCCACATTGGAGCACCTTGCATGCGCACTCATGATTTGAATAAAGGAACAAGACAACATGATACAGAATGATTCAGTACACGCAGTACAGTATTACATTTTTTTCAAGATACTATTACTATTTTATTATTACTATTACTATTATATTATAATGGAGGGATCTCGCGGATCGATATACAGCTACGGACCGATCGACCTACAATAGGAGGCTACAAAATTACTTTTAACAGGACGAGTGCAATGTCTGGTCTTTGAAAAACTCGGGTGCACGTAAAAATCGTCCAAATCGTTTTGATGTACATGTACTTCACATGTAAGTCATGTAACATTTTGTTTCTGCGTTTACGTTTATAGGTGTGGTAATAGTTCTGTAAACACTAGGAATATGGGTGATAAATATAGTTGCTAGTTTACTTTTGCAACCAATAAAAGCAATGAATAAAACCATTCTGGACGTCATCGTGTGCTACGTAACCGTACAGTACGTACCTGTTTTACATTATATCCTGCCTTGGCACTCGTCTCAATAAACATCACGTTCAGTTCTTTAGACTTTCTCTCGCCTTCTTCACTAGTTACTTGCCTACATTTTCAAAATACAATTTATCAAAGTCGGGATATCGCGATATTATTATTATTATTATTACTATATAAGTCTTAGTCTTTATTAGAATCACAACATACGTGTGTCTTTACAATATTACAGTAATACAGTTAAAAATTACAGCAATCATGTACTAACTACGAACTAATGAATTAATTATAGCTAACAATAATTTTATAATGAATTAAAGTATAAATAAAAATAAGAACAATGCCGAGATCTTGCGTTAAAGAAAGCGTTAATGAAGTTTTCATGCAATGCCATAATAATGTATACCTTTTATCCGAAAGATCTGTTTTGTTTCCAACAAGCATAATAATTACATCATTGCCCCTCTCTGTTCTGACATCATCAATCCATTTATTTGTTTGTTGAAATGAATTATAATCTAAAACAAAAATTAGCATGGTAACATTGACACTTGTAAAGTAGCCTCTGGCTGCAATTTATATATGTCAAAGTCTTCTGTTTTAGCGGTCCGGTATCCATGAAAATAAAGCAATCTGATTGGCTGGTGAGCGGTCAGATTTTTTTTCTGTGCCCTACTTAATTATTTTACTCTGCATACGGCCTACTTTATTATTCTACTCTGTCTGTTTTACTCGTCAAGGGGAGAGTGCTGCCACTCAATGGGTTAAAAAATTTAGCCTAACGATGGTTAGAATTAGAAATTTAACTGCGTCAACATCTGAAAATTTATCGTATACGATTGTCAAGTCGACGTATGAAAATTATAGCTGACTCCACAATTACTCTTCGTTTGGTTAATGGGAAAATTTCAAATACAACGATTTAGTGGGCTCTATACATGCATGGAGCAAGAGGCCAAGATCTTTAAGTTATTCAGCTTGTGAAGAAAAATGAAAACTACGAAGCCTGAAAGTACGGTGGTAAACAGTTCTCACACCATTTCCCCCAGTTAAACAAGTTATCAGAATTAAGTAAGTAGTTATCAGTTACATGCAGTACAAGTATTATTCTTTAAATCCAGATAGATAGTTTATTTAACAATTATTCGCCGAAGGCGAGGTGATTATATCGGGGAATATTCGCCGAGACGAAGTCGAGGTAATCACCGAGCCTGAGGCGATAATCACCGAGCCTGAGGCGAATAATTGTTTCAGTATTTTTACACAAGTCTTTTGTGTTTTTTGGGACTGAAATTATTTTAATTTCGCTTATTTCTTTATCAGTAACTTCCACAAAACGGCTAGCCGCCATTTTGTAAATTTCGGTTTTGTTATATTCACCTGTAAGTGAATATAACAGCTTAACACGTCAAATTTGACCAATCAACTTGTATAGGATTTGTTATGTTCAGTTGTGCAAAAATACTAATTAGAGATATCATTGCAGCCAAAATGGCTGAATTGTATATATTAAAGGCACAGTTCAGCCTGTTGAACGATGGTTTTTAAGGCGCATTTCAGCCCTTTTAATTGAAAAAACTAACTAGGAAAATCAATTAAGCATAATTCAAGATCACCAAACTTAATGTTTTTAACATTTTAAAACATTTATATTGTTAAAAACATCGAGTTTACTGATTTTGAATTATGCTTAATTGATTTTTCTAGTTAGTTTTTTCAATTAAAAGGGCTCAAATGCGCCTTAAAAACCATCGTTCAAAAGGCTGAACTGTGCCTTTAAATTTACATGACATAAAAGTTAAAAGTGATTAAAATAGTGATAAACTAATTTTACATGCGTGCAATATCCAATAATAATAATAATGATAATAATAATATAAAACTATTTTTTAGTCTGGAGGACTAACACAGGAAAATTAAACATGCGTCTATTCTTTAGTCCAATTTAATATCGGTTTAATATCGTATACATGTTTCGTTTAGTTTCGACACAAGATAATGTAGTTTATGGTTGGGATCAGAACATAGATCCGATCAGAACACAGGACGGGTTCATGTTGACTGCGTGATAGCCAGATGTGTGTTTTGCACGTGCGGTATGTCGCAAGGAAAAACACACACAAAGATCTCGAACATTTACAGTACTAAACGCAGACATGTACTTTCATGTTTCGTTTCTGTAAAATTTATCATGTTTCATGTTTAGTTAAAGTAAATATACCATTCTTCAGCCTTTCAAAAATTTACAATATTTCGCAATTGTGTATTCTTTTTCGAAAATATTACGTACTAGAAAATAATCAAAATATTACATAGAAGTAGAGTGTATAGGCATTTAAAACGTAAAGCGCAAGCATAAGGAGTGTAATGTAATTGTGCATATTCATATTGCACTCTTCCATTATCAGAACGCTTTCATGCATTTATATGCCTGCGTTTATATTATGTCGCAATGAACCTATGATGAGAACAGTATGTGCATTATAATTTATATTTACAGAGTATATCTAGTCCTAGATATAAAATTCACGTTACAAAGCAACGTGATACAGAAGATAATTGCAAGTGCACCTCCCCCGGATTGTTCACTCTATCCATCTATGCATCTATTGTTGAGTCACCAATGAGACTTGCACTTCATAACAAGCAACTTTGCACTAAAAACTTTGTAAGTGTACTATTATCGTGAAACGATCAGAACAACACAAAAAATATGGCTATGTTTAGTAGGTGTTTTTTCACGTCACTAGGGAAAGTTATCTGGTACAGTGTAAACATAGCCTAAGACTGGGTTATTCCCTGGGTAACTTGTAAGACTGAATTACAAGTATTGTATTGCTATGTACTGTACAGATTTTTTCACTTTGACATACTTGTTATATCATAGACAACAACCGCCACAGTGGAATCTCTGATGTAACTTGGTATTAAACTTCTGAAACGCTCCTGTCCAGCAGTGTCCCATAGTTGTAATCGAACCTATGAAATGCAAGTAATTTCACTCTTATTTATGATGTTGCTTGCAGGATCTAATTATCTGAAAAAATTATAAATCATTGAACTTGATATTTCAAGGTAATTAGATCCTTCAACAAACACTGTGAATAATGATAAATGCTGTGTATGTCAGACACTGACATTCAACATATTTTACGTTTTGCTGTTTATATTGTCTGGTGTGCAGTGCTGTAATGCCGTAATACATTAGCTCATTCATGCAGAAAATGAGAAAATAACCCCCTTCAGACATCATACAGTAGTACTAGGCAGTTGCGATATATCAATATTTTCGATAAATATCAATATTTAAAAAATATCGATATTCGATTTTTCGAATATCAAAAATATCGAAAGTTGTAACTAAACAAATTAATCTCCAATTATTCTGCAATTGTTGTTTTCATCGCCATCGGTGAAGTTTAGACAACGTGTGTATGGCGGCAATGGCGGATTTATGATACAAGTGCGTGGAGATGACGGATAAACTGTTGTTTAATAAATCTTTGAGACGTATCATGACTGGTTTCATGCACTTCTTTTTAACTGTTTGTGATGCGTATACATGCATGCAAGTTGACTAAATTACGTTTTCTCATTTGCATAATTCGATATAGTCGATATTTTTTTTTGATATCGATATATCGATTTTTTTCAATATTGCAACTGCCTAAGTAGTACATTTTACTATTATCTGAAGTACAGTACTGTAGATTTTCCTCCCTCTGTAGTGAGGAAGAGTGGACACTTTTTCTTGGAAAAACCCAATTTAATTCATCAGTCCAAAAGTCTTCAGAGATGATTGGATACTAAAGCCCAGTTTACACTATGCTCAATTTTTGGTACGGCACGGATAAAATTGGTACCCGTACCACTTTTTTTACGGTACCAAAAATTGAGCGTGGTGTAAACGGGGGCTTAGCTAAATAGGTAGTCCAAGAACCAAAAAAATGGTACGGGTACCAATTTTATCCGTGCCGTACCAAAAATTGGGCGTAGTGTAAACAGGGCTTAAATTCAAACTGCAATATCTTTCATTTGTGGAAAGCAAGGTAAATGCACATATATCACCAAAGTACCAATGAATTGCACTCCTTGGGATTGTTAGGCGTGTGTGGATTCAGAAAGCATTGGAAATTGGAATTCTGATTCCATAATCTTTTAAGTTTTGAAATGATTTGTTGAGCTAGAATGTAACATATTACAACAACAACTGACAATGCCAACTGGAGAGACGGAATGTGTGTTCTTAGAGTAACACATGGCAATGCATGTTATTGTGCCAAGAATATAGAATATTTTCTACAGTTAGGCTTGTGGATGTGATCGATCGCACACCATTCCCAGGATGCTGTGCACTTCACTTTCTATTATCTATTATATAATTTCTAGTTATACTGTACTGTACTGTACTGTTCTATATATATATATATAAATATAGAACATATATATATATATATATATATATATATATATATATATATATATATATATATATATATATATATATATATATATATATATATATATATATATATATATATATATATAGAGTGGGGTGTGTGCACTAGCCCTGGCCAGAGGGGGTGCAGGGGGGGGTGGGTGCTATTTTTCATGATAAAGCAAAAAAATTATTAGAGACAAAATGAGATACAGTAATTTGAGTAATAACATGATCATAAGCGAACTTTGTGTTAAACTGAATATGAACATATATTTAATATAAAATCGCTTATACAAAACTGATTGTTTCTCACAAAACGAAACGCCAACGTTCCTTCCCGCCAACTCCGTACACTCTACCGCGGGCTCAGACCTAGAGAGTACTTGGTGTAACTATGCATTTGCAATATGCAGTCTCACAATCTCCTGTCTCTTTCTTTATAACAAAACTAAACTTAATGTTAGATAATCATGCAAAATTTAAATTTGTCCACATTTTAGTGTGTCGATTAATGTTTGGGTGTTCACGCCCTGTTTGGTAAAAACATCAGCAAGTTGACTCTTTGTATCAACCCAATTGACTGTTATCTCCTTGCGTTTAACACTTTCTCTCAGAGCAGCAATGTCTACTCGCAACCTCTTCTCTTCCATAGCTTTCGTTGAATGCACTGCTTCGGTAAGTGACATATTGTCAGTGTATATCTCGGTTGTATGCAACTGCTTATGAGGTGTCCACTGCATCCAACAGTGGCATCGTTTCTGCAGCAATTGTGCTTCTGCAAACTCTCCTCAACTTTTTGGATATCCAAGTGATTGGTGAAGCTCTTCCTTCCCCGTCCACAAGAAATATGATCATACCTCCTTGAGAGGATCCATCTTTGAGATTAGCATATGATGCATCACAATACACTACCAACTTCCATGGCTGTTTTAATGCCACATACTTTAGTGAAAATCTATTTTGTTTCACCTTTCGTAAAACTTTGTTGGCTTGTAAAATATCCTGGACTGTTGCTGTGTTCAATCTTGTGCTCAACTGGCAAACATCAAATGCAATGTCAGGCCTAGACTGTGTAGAAATCCAGTTCAATTGTCCACAAATTTTCCGGAATAATGCCTGTTCGTCTTCATTTAAAACTCGGGACTTGTCAGTCTTTTTCTGAATTTCAACTTCTTCCATACTGTCAATGTACGAGTCTTGATTGAAATAAATGTCACCATCTGATTCGTCAATGTTCATCCCTAGGTACTTCATAGGCACTGTTTCTTCAGAACCCACAGTAAAAATTGTTTTAATATTCTGTATCAGATGCTCAAACTGAGTGGAACCACCATATAGAAAATCATCAACATGAATTGCCAGAACTCCCTCACATCTCCCTTCGTGCCTCCAATAAAACAATGCTTTGTCATACTTTGACTTTACCAATCCAAGCTTGGCAAGTTCATCTGTTACACGGTTGTACCAATATCGTGAAGCTTCGTTTAACACACTTCTTTAATTTCCAGAGACCACTTGTTTTAGCTTCTTTTGGAGGCTTGATGTAAACATCTCTTTCAAGTGGTTTCCCCTGCAGAAAGGCAGTTTTTACATCCATCATGTTACATTTCCATTTCTTTGAAGCGATCATCGATAAAACTAACCGAATAGACTCTTTGGAACAAGTAGGCGAATCTGTTTGTCTGTCCCCAATCTCGGCATCTTCAAATCCTCTTGCAACTAGACGTGCTTTAGTTACAGCTGTTCCTTTGACAATTTTTGAGGTTATCACCCATCTGCATGAAATACTCTGTTGCAGCTTCTTCATAAACATTGTTTGCTTTCCAGTTCTCCAGTTCCTTTTGTTTAGCAACTTGCACGGAATCCTTTTCCAAATTATTAGTTAACAGAACTTCCTCACAAACTGGTTCCCATTCTTCAATATCTGTGGAGAAATCAAACCATTGAACCTCTCCCTCTTTATTTTTCATATTAAGACAGTTCTGGTACTTGCCTTTAGCTTTTCCAGCATGACTGTGTACTGTTCCTTCTCGCCACTGATCCTCACCTTTCAATTTATACAAAATTGTTGATTTAAGCTTTGGTAAAGATTGTTTTTCAGCCGTCTCTATGTCACCTTGAGACTCGACATTGTTAGAACGGGTTGCATTGGTGACATTCTCTGCTTCTAAAACATCTTCTCTACAAACTGTAGTATCTGTATGATCCTTGTCTGAAACGTTATCTGTACCGGGCAGACATTCTTCACTCGGACAGTCTGTATCCTCAGTAAGAACTTGTGTACTATCCTCCTTATCTTCACTGCCCATCACAGGGTTAAAGTCCACATTGTCAATGTGAATCAAACGACTAATATGCACTCGGACATATTCACTTCCATGTTTTACTAGAACTTGTTTATTCTCTTGTCCAATCACAGACCCTGGACCTTTCCATTTATCACTGTCATTACGTTTGTAATATACTCTATCACCATTCTGAAACCTTGCATCATTAAAGCTTCGAACTTTACTTTTTAACGCTCTCTTGATCTTCTCGGACGATTCACTTTGAATAAACGCTTCTCTGGCAGATCTCATTGCAGCTAAGTTACGCTCGACCGTGATGCTAGATACTTCTTCTAATGCTGGTAATTTGTCATCCAGCACACCTGGCATGTTTGGATTTCTACCAAAGACAATCATATTTGGACTATAACCATTATGACCATGGAGAGTATTCTTTGCACTAACTGCCCACGATACTGCTGTTTCCAGTGAACAGTTTGTGTCTTCAATGACCTTCTTGACTGACTGCTTAAGAACACCATTATGTCGTTCACATAGTCCATTTGACCATGGGCTTTCTGCAGCTGTTTTGGCTACATCAATGTTAAACGATTCACACATCTCTCTGTATTCTTCATTGGCAAACTCTCCTCCGTTGTCAGCTAGGAATCTCTGTGGTCGACCAAAATAGCTAATCCAGGTTTTCAAGATTGCCTCAATAATGGTTGATGGCTTCTTCGACCTTCTAACACATGCGACCGAATATCTCGAGAATACATCTACTAAATGAAGAATCCACACTCCTTGTTGAATTGTGATTAAATCCATAGCGACTGTATGGTTAAACTCTGAAGCGAGAGGCAATCCCACAACTGGTCTGAGTGGAGTTTTCTTGTACAGCTTGCAAACATCACATTTACTTGAAATTTCATCCACTATATTTAGAACTTCTGGATCATCTTTCCATAATTGGGATGATTTTATTAGCTGTTTAAGCTTGCTTGAACTACAATGACAAAATTGTCTGTGCAATTTGCCACCATGCTTTCTTTTTCCTTTCCGGTCGTTGGATTTATAGCTACAAAGCAACATTCTTTGTTAGCATTGGAATGATTTTCAGAATCAACAACTTTTCTTGATTTTGTTAATGGAATAGCATAATGTCCGGATGATGTTTTCAGTAGTTGCTGTTGTTCCCCAAACATTGTCACACTATCTTCATTAAAATTAAGCACTGTTTCAGCCTTTTTCATAGCTGCCTTAGACATTAACAGGGGTATATCTGCATCAATCACATCAGTTTCTAAATTAACTTTCTTAGATCCAATGACTGCTGGTATTATTACTTTCTTTTCAGACATAACTGGCTCTCCATTTCCAAACTTAAATGCAGCTGTGGATGGTTTTTCCTTGATAATATCTTCATCAATCAGACTGTCCGTGTAACAATCCAGCCACTTTCTACCACACACTGTTTGTGTGCACCCAGAATCAAGAACTGCACAACTAAGCGTGTCTCCTACAAATACCTTCATCTCATGTACATCATGATTAGGCGATCGAAATAAGTTTAGAGTTTCAGTTTTCTTGTCAGGATCTAAACCTTGATTTTCATACGCATCAGGGCAATTCCGTGCCCAGTGGAATTTGCTTTCACAAATGTTGCATCTCGAAATATTTCCATAATGATCAACAGGGTTTAGTTTTCTTTGCCTGCTTGAAGGTTCGCCGCAATCTTTGCGTTGTATACCATTGTCATCCCGATTTCCTCTTGATGCTCTGTATGGTAATCTTCCCCTTGGATTATATCCCCTTCTCTGGTAAGGCCTGTCTCGCGATGACCTGCCATTTTCCTCTCGCACCTGTCCGGAAACACCACCATAAAATACTCTTTCCTCTTTCACCCTGTCCTCAGATTTAATAAAGCTTGGTGATGCTGAATCACCATAAATTCTAACCAGTTGACTCACCATTGCATCATATTTCAAATCAGTGATTGTTGCTCGGCATAATTTTATTTCTTCCTGGTTTAAATTTGCAGAATTTAACACTCGGTATGCCAATACGCCATCAGGTAGGGTCATGTTGTGATCTTTTATCTTCGTATACAATTGTTCAAACCGAATCAAGTACTCTTTTATTGGCATGCTCTCTGGTCGCTTAAAACTCTCAAAATTTTGATACGCTATGTATGCACTTTGGTTAGTATCTTGTAAATACAATTTATCCAATCGCTCTAAAATGGTTTGTACGCCAGTAACTTTCTTAAGCTCTTCTATGTCAATCTCTAACGCTGCCTCCCTCGCTTTTCCGCTCAAAGATAAATACAAACTAGGACCTTGCTTCTTCGCCGGTAAATCTGTCAACGCTTGCCATATTTTAATCTCCTTTTTGTAGTCAATCCAACTCTTTTTTTCATCAAAAACCGGCGGTGGTGTAAATTTACTTGCCATTGTGAATCACTTACTCCTCTGCTACAATTGTTAAACTGAATATGAACATATATTTAATATAAAATCGCTTATACAAAACTGATTGTTTCTCACAAAACGAAACGCCAACGTTCCTTCCCGCCAACTCCGTACACTCTACCGCGGGCTCAGACCTAGAGAGTACTTGGTGTAACTATGCATTTGCAATATGCAGTCTCACACTTTGAACAACAACTACAATTCAAATAGAGTAGTCAAGCAAGACTTTGCAGTAGTGAAGCAAGTTGATGGGCGGGCGGCACACATGACAGACACAACTCGGCACTAGAGCTGGCAGAGCACCCCCACCTCCTCAGATCATGATGGATCCATCCCTGTATATACTCACTGTTCTGTCTTCTAGATACATTGTCTTTGAAAGAAAATCAATTCCAATGGTTGCCTGCAAAAATAAAATGACACTTGGTTGTTATTTATTTTATACAATCATATACAAAACCTGGCAGTAATGCAAGAGATGCAATAATTATCATAAATTATTTTTACAGTGATCATGCTCCTAGACGTGGCACAAAAAATGTTGATCAGGTCATTTCCTAGGATTTCCTAAAACATTCTACCAATTCGACATTTGTGGTGTTACTCTGAGTGTATATCCACACCGGGCGAGCTTGAAAAATTTGCCCGGCCACGGTGGGATTCGAACCTGAGTACACTACACCAACACAGACTCATATTCACCTGAGTACACTACACCAACACAGAAAAAAAATTCTACCAATTCATTTGCTCACAAGAGCCAATTCATTTGCTGAGTTACTTGAACCAGTACTTGAATCATGTACCAGTCACCTAAGTTGGTTTTGGTGCAATTAACCAATAATGAGACAGAAAATGACCAGAAATGATCAAATACACAAAGTTGCCATGGGACAGCCTGCATGCGGGCACGATCATAGGCAGGTGGAATATATTGGTAAGGAGGCTCATATAAACCAACCTTGTTCCAAGGCTCTTTCCTCTGGGAAGGAAAGACCCAGGTAAGAGCTGGTCACATGGCCCACAAAAAATTGATTGCCTAAGGGGGTGAGGGAAAAGTCCTCATATTACATGCTTCCACTTCCGCACTTTACACCTTGATCGCAAGGAATGAGTGTTTGGTACAATCAACTTGGAGAATCGTATATATTCTCATATATATAGTAAGAATTCTTGATCATAGAGTCTTCTAAATTATAAAAATATTTTTTAGCAACAAGTCAGGAAATCAAGCAATAAAAACATAAAATCATATGCTTTGAAATTGTTCTTATGTTCTCTCAGGGCTTGGGCGCACTTAAAGGCAGATTTTCACATGTTTCTGCTTTGCCTATGGTTCACATATTTAGAATTGCAAGTGTAAGCACCATTTTTACCCAGTAATTAGTCCCGTCAAATCACATCCTAAAATGCGCATTTTCGTCGATATTTACGAAAATCTTGATTCAATCAATCTCTTTTATTAGCTAGGAAATCGTATAATCAATTCCTCACTGAAGAATTTAAAGACTTTTAAAGACTTTCCTCGATTTTTCACACAATGTAAAGACTTTTCAAAGACCTCAAAGACCTGCATTCCAATTTAAAGACTTTCAAGGATTTCAAAGACTGCTACGAACCCTGTTTAAGCCCTTTAACTATTCACACAAACTTACATTTTTTCCTAAAAATCAGCTATTTGCATGCTTAATTAATGCCTTTGCCTAATTTGCATATGTCAGCAATATGCAAATAAGGTAAAGGCATTAATTAATTAAGCATGCGAAAGGCGGATTTTTTAGGAAAAAAATGAATAGCTAAAGGGGCTTAAACTAAAGCAAATTGTCTAATGTTTTGTACAGTAATTGAAAACCCAACAAATTTTCCATCTATTAACTGAAAATATAATTAAAGCTTTTAAATTTCATGCGCAAGCATTTTCAGTTTGTTGGAAAAGACACACACCCCAGGTTCACAAAATTTTAGTTCGAGAAATTTTTATCATTATGCTACATTATAAGTACCCAAAGAAGCTATATACATAAAAAACTGGATACTAATAGCTGTTTTACGAAATTGAGGGCAAATTCATATCTGTTCAGTTTTTTTTTATACACCCTGTATAGCCACTTACAATGCCTTTTATAATAAATACCTTGCCCCAGTATTTTTCTATTATATATGGTATAAAGTCAGGTATATATACATAATTCATAAACTCTATATGCCCAAACTCTTGCACAAACAGCATTACTTTATGAGATTTTATAAGCATTTTAAATTTCTCTTGATATATTGATAAGCTGTTTGTCTCTACTGCAGCATAGTTGGATGCTATTAAAAATGTATATTTAATTCTAAAAAGTCAATAGTTATTAGTGAGTGATATACTGATAATATATTGATGTCTCACAACAGACAAGCTGGATCTCATGCTATTTCACAAATTAAAATTTAGGATAGATCAAGCTACAAAGCTAATGGTAATGAAAGTTCTTTATAATAATTATGTGCCTGGTATATATTATTGTAATAAATATGAAATAATTGCATATATGCATATTTGTATACAGTCAACACAATAGTCTTGTGTACAATTTAATTATTCCAGTTGTCCCGCACGCAATGGAGGAGCTATACCTCAACATAATTCTTGATCATAGAGTATCAGCGATGCCAAAACGGTACACCAAGTATATCACAGTCTTTAACTAGCTTTAACAGTCGGGAGAGCATGTTTAGAATTTACACACAGTTGGCGGGATCACAGGATCTCATTATTTTATAGCCAGACTACAGGAATTCCACATCTCTACATAAGGTAAATCCGTTGGGTTTACGTCTCGGACAGGATACACTTCAACACTGACAACAGTCACAACCATATTGTTCACTCAATCAGTCGGTCTAGAGGAAAGAGCCTGGGAACAAGGTTGCATATAAACAGACCCTAAGAATTAACAGGCCTTGCTTGTTGATCCACAGCTATGCTCCCAAGATCTGTCCTCTGGGTAGTTGATTCTGATTGGTCATACTGTAGTTAAATTCAATAGATTCTTATTGGTAGGCTGGGGCGGTTCTTGAAAAAAACCAAAACCGAAAGGAAAAAAAACAGTTTTTAATCTATAAATAACACACAGACATAAAACCGTGTAGTGTGTGTTTTTATTATGTGAAAAATTTTAGTTTTAGGTGCTTAATATCAGAAGCTTACAGAGGTATAAAAATACAAGCAAGAAGACAATGTTAAAAGAACGTATTTACAAGTTTGTTTTTTTCGGTTTTTCGGTGTTTGGACTTTGGCAAAACCGGAAAAAAACCCCAGAATTTTCCGGTATGCTGAAAAGCCGCCCCAGCCTACTGACCGGCCGAGTTCAAAGGTCAACAAATGCCAATGCCAGACAATTTTACTCATCTAGGGGAGAGTGCAGGCTCAATGGGTTAGTATTAACAATTACATGTAGTTTTGAAAACATAAAATTAATTACAATATTATACAGGATTGAAGTCTGTTATCAGGGTTGTCAGGCAAAAACATTAATGAGTTTTTATCACAATGTTGCCGAGATATCCACTCAGAAATTGTAAAAAACCAATAATGTCTGATTGAAAAATACAAATGGTGTAGCTTTCCTATAAAATATCAATAAGCGTATTTTAACTAAAACATTTCACATTTTAAATCTATCAGAACACTATATTAAGCTTCCGGAGTACATAGAATGACATAGCTATAAACAATAAACTAAACATGTTTCATTATAAACGTATTAATCATGAAAGAAACTAATTTTGTCACGAGAGAATATCCTCGAGAATATCATGAACATAATATTTCCGCACTCACCTGATATGTATTATCAAAACTGTCGTACATAAACCTGGTAATCAGCGATGTCTTCCCAACTACAACACAAAAATATGGATTCAAAAATCCCCGCATAATTTGGGCTCTTTGACTTTTGTCAAAGTGACGAAGTCTGAATTTGATAATAGATCGAACTGGTGTCTGACATATAAATTGAAGCCAAGTCTTACCGCTCTGTTCGCCCAGGAAAACAAGTTTAAATTTCCTCAGAGGATTGCCAAAATCAGAAGCCATTTTCTTCCCTTTTCCAGCAACCGTGTTCAGCTCAAAATTATACTACGGTATTGCTGGTAATCGTCTAAAAATTGTTTATTTGGTCATTTCAGCCACGTTGATGGAATTCGATGAAGCAAAGTTCTCGATGAGCAAACTGCGCATGCTCACGTTTCAATATTAAGGTGTGCCCGAATGTTTGACCACAATTTTTTTAAAAAATTTGAATTGAAAACAGTTGAAGGTCTTTCAGGTCTTTGAAATTAATACGGGAGAGTTTCCACCGCGGTCTGAGTTTTAGGGAAACGTAATGTGGCGCAATCCTAAAATTTCAACAAGGGGAAGTCTTCAAGGTCACGCTCCCATATCTGAGCGCAGTGCTGAGGAAAAGACAAAAAATGCAGGATGAGGTTTTCCACAGAAAACAAATGAAATTGTTTAAAGATGATGTCCACTCCTGTGCACATGCGCGAACTTTGTTTACGTTTTGAACTGCTATATTTGTAAAATATGCTATACTAACTGCATATCTAACACTTTTCTGGTTCGCTATACTTGTAAATGAATATAAACTACGTTTCAATTCAAAAAAGTTCGAAGGATGCAAAATTTGGGCAATGTCTATATCTGAGGGTCCCCCTTTGTTACGAGCAGAACTGATGTGCAGAACGGAGTGGAAGTCATCTTTAAGGTTTCTTTCCAATTTATTTTTGCTGGCAAAAGTTGTATAAGCACACCGTAAGTTAACGTCCGTCGAGTGTATTGAGGAATTACAACTTGTACTAAGGGCTGAAAGAAGGGATAGAAGCTAATTCTTGGAGAAAGAGCTTATATAGGAAGGCCAGGGGGTCGAAATGTAGCAAGTACGAAAGGCAATAAGCTATAATAACAATATGAAATTCCAGGCGAAGTAAAGCCCGTGTTATGCACTAGTCAATTGAAACTCCGGCCCCCCGACCCCCGGGACAGGGCGGGGAATTAACGGGGGAATGGCCGTGGATTAACGCGGGTTTAATGCACCATTTCCCCCGGGGTACACGGGAAATAACAAGTCAATTTATTAGCGCGCCGGGACAATAGCCGGGACTTTTACGCGCGGCTGATACGAAAGTGGACTGGAACATGTTTATCGTCGTGGCAACATGGCGGAATCTTCGAAGTCAGAGAAGATATTTTACAAACTTTTGTCCGTTTTATCATTGTTTCCTCATAGTTTTTCTTAAAAAAAAAGGAATATATTTTCACTTTCCTGATGATGACTGCAAAATAAAGTCATCAGCCAACTAATTATTTTCACTGGTGCACGCACTATCATATTCCTCTGTAATCATAGCTTTGCGCGACCTAATTATATCAATTAAGTAATTAAGATTGTAACATCAATAATTTTTTTCCAAATGTAATCAATTCTCATAATGACATCAACTGTTTTTCGCTAAATTAAAACCTACATCATGGATCATGATCATCAACTAATTGGTGGCTATAATAAAGATTTTAAAACTTTTAATAGCGCTGCCAGAACAGAAAAATAAACGAAAAATATAACACAAACATATTAATCTGAGTCGTAAACATATTAGTCTGAATCGTAAATAGCTTAATTAATTTAATTGTCTTGTAATTGCATGAAATCAATATTTTCATCAATATTGTCCAATAACCAATGCTATCAGTACACTGCATGGAATTAACTTCACATTCTAGATAACGTCCACTGAGGTAGCCTCACTTCACCGAACCAACTTTTCATGTACAAAATGTTGAATAAAAAGGGTTCTGAGTCGCTCACAAATCTTTTACTTGTAAAAGTGAGGTGACAAATCACAAACTTCGGGGCATTTCCAGTAGACTTTGTCTACCACAACCTCGAACTAATAACATGAAAAATAGTTTCATGTACGACGGTGCTCGCGTATACATGGAACTCTATTCCAAACGAATTAAATTAGGGAGTGCAAATCCCTATCATGTTTTCGAAATAAAATTGCTACTCACATTTTTTTATTAATACAATATCCTAAAAGAAACTTTTAACAAAAACCTGTAAATATACTTCTAGATTATTTTACTTAGACTTAGTTGATGTCATATTTTGTAAATAGCTTAAAATATTATATATTTTTGTACTTCCTTTTCTTGCACGTTCCCTGTGGAAATCAGCTTCGGTTGACAGGGTTAGCGTGGGTAATAAAGTTTTTCTATCTAAGAAATGAAGGATCACCATTAATCTTGTTGTGTGTTGAATGTGTTCACTCATCGTTGTGGCTGAGTTATATACTGCAGGGAAACGGGATAGCTACGTCGACTGCATGTATGAACTCAGGCATGGGAAAATTTCAGAGACCCTCGACGTTCGTGTAAGTCACTTATAACTCGAAAGCGAAAAGAATTCTTCCAGTTTTTACCTGGTGTTATGAAATCAAATAAGAAACGGTTTTAGTTGTTATTCAAATCGGTTTCAAGTTCATCAAATGTTCCTAGCAAAATTACCTGGAAGCGCGTGATGAGCAACAATTCCGGAAGAAACTGCAAATCTCTTAAACAACTATTTCTATTCTATGTTTAATCAACCTCTTTCCCAAGAAAATTACGATGCTCATCCAGTCCCGAACACCACACCCTGCAATCCATTAAGTGATATCACGATTTAACCTGATGACGTTAGACGTATTCTTCTTTCTCTTGATGACAACCGAAAGCTACAGGTCCAGACAGAATTCCAGCTACATTGCTAAAATGTTGTGCTCTCTATATATCTTCATCGCTTAGTGATCTCTTCAACAAAAGTTTGAGTTCGGGCAAAATCCCAGTAGAATGAAAGATTTCCAACATAATATCTATTTCTAAAGGTGGTATAAAGAACGATGTTTCGAACTCCGACCAATATATCTTTACCGTAGTTCAAAAGTCCTAGAACGTTGCATCTATGATCAAATTATCAACCATGTGTCAAGTCAACTGCATAACCTTCAATTTGGGTTTCTCAGGGGAAGGTCTACCACGTACCACAGCTGCTGCAAGTTCTTCATGAAATTGGGAAATCGCTTGACCAAAGAGTCCAAACTGATATTCTTTATCTTGAGTTCTCAAAAGCTTTTGACAAAGTTGGTCATAAGCTTCTACTCAAAAAAACTAAGTAACTTTGGAATTTGTGGAAACCTGCTCAATTGGTTTCAAAACTACCTTACAAACCGCCATCAGAAAGTCACCGTCCTAGGCAAGACATCGTGTCCAATCCCGGCCCGTACTATCAGGTGTTCCTCAAGGCTCAATACTTGGACCTCTTTTGCCGGTTTCTTATGTACGTGAATATCTTACCTCAACAGACCACGACATCGTCCGTAGTCCTGTTTGCTGATGACACCAAGTGTTATCGTGCAATAAGTAAAGCCCAGGACGTTAAGGATCTCCAGTGCGATTTTGATAGATTCAACAAGTGGTGTCAAGTAACTAGCTGTACAGCAAATGGAGCAAACAAGTTAATGCTGTATGTACAAAGGCCAACAGAATGCTGGGATTCATAAGAAGGACTTCAGCCGACATGCGCGACCCACTTGTAAGAACATTAGTTCGAAGTCACTTCGTGTATATAAGCTTATATATAGCTCACAAATCTGGTCACCACAATCTGTAGCACTTATCCTTGATCTCGAGAAAGTACAACGGCGTGCAACAAGGTCTATATTATCCTTAGCGTTTCAGTCTGAAACCAGTTATAAAGATTGGCTGCTATTAACAGGGTTACTACCTTTGTGCTACTGGCATGTGTACCTGGATTTGGTATATTTCTTCAAAACTCTGAAGTCAAATAATCCAAACATTGTTGTGAAGTCTATAGTGGTCGTGTCACGAGACACAATTCAACTAAAAATATTTTAACTAACGTTCCTGGAGTAAACACTTTAACTTTTCAAAATAGCTATTTCAATAGAGCTCCTAGAACATATAATTGCTTGCCATCATATATCCGTGACGCTGACGTCACAATTGGTCAAATTCAAATCATACTTGTTGAAATATTATCACGAAACTGCATGAACTTATATATGACGTGACAATATAATTTGTAAATTCTGAACGCTGATTGGCAAAGAGCCGTGTTGATATAACTCTATGCCAACACGGAAAGTTCAGTTTCTTTATATTTCTTTGTGCTATATTATAATTAACAAATATAAAACATTTTCCGTGTTGATATACAGTTATATCAACACGAGTGGAAATTGGGAAAACGAGAAATTGTGTGGAAACACGACGCCCGAAGGGCGGAGTGTTTTCACACAATTTCGAGTTTTCCCAACTTCCACGAGTGTTGATGTAACTATATATCAATACGGAAAAAATGTTTTATATTTGTTTTATAATATAGCAATGTCAAAAGCCCGACGAATAGGAACAATTTCCGTGTTACAAGCGGCGGAAAATTTCCCGTGTTGACATGGAGTTATATCAACACGGCTCTTAGCCAATCAGCGTTCAGAATTTACAAATGCTATATTATAAAAAAAAATATAAAACATTTTTCCGTATTGATATACAATTATATCAACACTCGTGGAAATTGGGAAAACTCGAAATTGTTTGAAAACACTCCGCCCTTCGGGCGTCGTGTTTCCACACAATTTCTCGTTTTCCCAATCCCACTCGTGTTGATATGACTGTATAGCAACACGAAAAATGTTTTATATAATTGTTAATTAATGTACCACAATCATTTAAACTGTCTGTGTTAAATGTCACTCGTGTCGTCCTTTATTTTATTTTATTTTATTTTACAAATTTGCCATTATTAAAGATATAAACTAACTATAAATTACACACAATGGCTGGAATGACCACACAGAGATAAAATCTCCAATAATGGGGTTCCACAACATACATAAACATAACAATAATTTACATTATGGCGTGACAGATATTAGACATACTAATAAACAGATAAAAAAATTAACAGTA